ACACAGAGTAGAATAAAATAGAATGTATCTGAATAGATGTTTCTCCCTTACATTCAGCTACACCGGGATATCAGTCAGTCAGTCTCCTAAAGTCAGCTTTATGAACATCAAGACAGAAGAGCAACAACAAGCATGAAAAGATACACAAGGGAAGAATAAGAAAAAAATCTATATATTCAAATATGAACTGGATAAACAATGAACTCTTTCTGAAACATGATGAAGACAGTGTGTAGAACAAAAACAAGTGTTGTCTTGTTCTGATTTATAGAAAATGAAAATCTTCACTTGCTATGAAATGTTGCTCATATAAGATTTAATATTATTATTATTATTATTATTATTCTTTCACATGTTCATGGTGAGGTCATTGTCCTCACTGTATCAGGTCATTGATGCCTCCATTAATAAATCCAGGGATGGTTGTGCCATCAGCATCTTTACTGATGATGTCATTGTTCTGGCATGAAACACGGCCATGTGTGTGCACGGGGAAAAGTGTTTTAGCCGATCCTCTAAACCGTGGTTGAATAGTTTTTGTTTGTGCTGCTCAAATGATATCATGTTGTTATAAAGCCTGAGCACGACCCAGAAAGCTGCTGGTGGTGCTGGTTCTGTTTTTAAAAATAAAACCAGCAGAATAAAGATTGATGAGCAAACAACGATGTTGAATAAGTCGTCAAACAGCTGTTGGTGTGTGACTGTGGGATCACATGATGTCTGTCTGCTGTACAGGTCTGTGTGTTTCGCGCGTTGGAGGACTGGGCCGGCCTGGGTCAGGTGGAGGACTATCTGAGTGTTTTGGAGTACCTACTGTGGGTCTTCACGCCTTTGGCCATCGTCTTCATCCTGCCCTTCCTCATCGTCATCCTGCTTTACCTCTCCATACTCTTCCTCCATGTCTATAAGGTAAACCCGTCTGTAATGGACATGTTTGAGTACTTTGATAAACAGTGACAGCTTGTAGTCTTAGGTTGATCACGTCCTCTTGTTAGGCCTCCATCTTTATTTTCTCTGCCCTCATTAACGTCTGTTTCCCTCTCCATGATGTCTGAACTAAGAACACTACGGCTGCACCTGACTAACAGTTATGACACCTGAACTGTTTTTTAATATGAAGCTTTGGGATCCAACAAACTCTTTCATCAGCCCACAGTGGTATCTTGATTTCATTACAAGACATTTTTACATTACATTTTCTCTTTTATCAGAAGTGCACATAACAGCAGGCTGTAGCTGTGCATCAAAACGTCTTTCATGTACTCTTGTTGTCATTAAAATCTTTTAACCAGATGAAGGATTTCAATCAGCTGAAGTAAGACGGTTCTGCATCCTTCCTACAACCTCCTCGACAACACTGATAACAAACGTGAAATTGTCTTTTTCAAACTGTTTAAAGAACAAGAAATGGTTACAGAGAGGAGAGGACCTCGGGATAATTTGGCCCGTTTTCAGATGTTAACAAACACTAAACTAGAGCTGTCCCAAACGATTATTTTTCAAACGATTAATCTAACGATTATTTTTTCGATTAATTTAATGATTAATCTAACAATTAATTTTTCAGTTAACGATGATTTAACATTACTTGATCAATGTAACTATTCACACAATAAGGATATCAAACCATTTCTTGTTAACATTTCAGTATTTATTAAACATTTCTTTAACATGGCACTTCATTGCTCCTCAAGAATCTCTCCAAAATAAAATTCTTTGTGATGAAATAAAATGTGCTAAATAATGCATTCTGATGCCAGATGTAGCATCTAACAAAATAAATAATAATACAAAAAGTCACCCAGGAGGAATACAAAAAAAGGGTCACTTTTAGACTTGCTTTGTCATTTTTGTAGTTGTTTTTTTTCACTCTCGATACATCCCAAAAAAATAGAAAGTGCAGAAATTTGACTGCCAAAAATAGAAAGAATGAACAAGCAATCATAGAGTTTGATTTGTGTCTCTCTGTGCATCAATAAAAACCTGATTATGTAATAAACAGATTTACCTCAAGAAGAAGAAGTCAACAGCAGGGTTCTGTAAATCTTCTGTCAGTGTAACATGAGAGATGAGTCCCTCTCTGGATGTTCTAAAGTGATCAGTCACATTTCTGTTAGTCATTCAGCAGGAAACAGACACACAGTGCTAAATAACTGAAACGTTCCTCATATTAACAATGATACTGCGCCCCCCTGTGGGACACACGGGTATAACAAGTGAAGCATAGTCGCTCTGTTATCGACTGGTCATGTCTGAATGTGTAACATTTATATGAATAGAGAAATGTTAAAGGGACTGTACATTAAGAGCTTTCATCCTCACACACACACACACACACACACACACGCGCACGCTGTGCGGCTGCTATTCAAAACATGCGATGCACATGCATTACTCGGGCGTGCAGTGTGACTAAAGCTTGATGACATTGATAAGATTCCATTGATAAGAACTTTCCTGACTCTTTTTTTTGAAACCATAGAGGAAGAATCAACTGAGGGAAGCTTACTGCAACAACCTGTGGGACGGGGCCAGGAAGACCCTGGCTACTCTGTGGGACGGACATGGAGCCATCTGGCATGGTAAGACACTGGGCTTTATTTGACATGCTGTGTGTTCAGAAGGTGATATCACCTGAACAGAACAAAAAGGAAAAACTGCACACCGTCATGTCATTGTTGATGTTGAGCTGCAGGCTTGTGAAGAAGGGAAATAAAAAAAAAAAATGTCACATTGATTTGAAAAGTTCTGAGGGTATGTGATTAAGGAGCTCAAAGTCCATTTCATAAAAAGAGAAAGATGCCCCATCAGTACCACCATCATCCTTTGGTTCATTAACTTCAGTTTTAAGGGACCTGGGGGCTAATTTTTTTTCTAAAGGGTCCATAGAAGTCAAATCAATCATCAAAACATCTGAGCCAGAGAATGGTCACAGAATTGAGGTTTTGGACCCAACTATATGTTATTCAAAGCTTGATGGTGAAAACCCCACTCAAACCCCTCTTTGTCTGCCTCGCGCCACACACAAAGTCAAGCCACGCCCACTGCTAATTACTGGAAATGATATCAAACCCAAATAAGAAGCAAAACATAACAAATAATCAACAGAGGTAAAAATAGACATTATGGCTCCTATAGTTAGGGTTCATCTCGTCTCCTCAGGCTTCTTCTGTACTGAAGCTGAACATGTTTTAAAAATCTCCACATTGGTTAGTGTTTAACAATGAATGAACATTGGAATGTGTATGTGTTTGATGTCAGTCGTCTTGAAGACATTTCACCTGTCCTACCAGAGACATCTTCAGTTTTATACTAACTAACTGAAAGGTGGACAGAGCTACACATGTAAGCCTCTTTGGATAGTCACATGAGTAGTTGACCTAGTTTGACCTAAAGTGGTTAACAGCCCCGCTCGCCTGTGGCTCGTTGGGGTCACATGTTTCAAAGTGGGACTACAGAAAACCCCCACAGAGGAGTTTCTTTTAAACGTGTGTCTCTTGTTGTCCCAGGCTATGAGATTCATGGGATGGAGAAGATCCCAGACAAAGGACCAGCACTGATCGTGTACTATCATGGAGCCATTCCAATAGACTACTACTACTTCCTGGCTAGTGTCATCATCCAGAAGGGCCGGACCTGCCACTCTGTAGCGGACCACTTCCTCTTCAAGATCCCAGGTCTCACACACACACACACACACACACATGCATACTCATACAATCCCATCAGATACAACTGGCCTCATTATATTTTCTGTTTACCTTTTTTTGTTTTCTGTGTGTGTGTTTTTTGTTTCCTTTTTAAATGACAGCTTTATCACTAACCTCTCTTAACCTCCTCACGCTGTCTCCTGCTCTCTCTCTCTACCTCTGCTGCAGGTTTTAAGTTGCTGTGCGAGGTGTTCAGTGTGATTCACGGTCCTCAGGAGGAATGTGTGCGAGCGCTGAAGAACGGTCACCTGTTGGGGATTTCTCCCGGTGGCGTGCGGGAGGCTCTGTTCAGCGATGAGACCTACCCTCTTCTCTGGGGCAAACGCAGAGGCTTCGCGCAGGTCGCCATCGACTCTCAAGTGGTGCGTTTTGTTGCTTTAATCTATATGTGCTTTAGTTAATGTTTCAGTCTGGAGTCCATGAAAGATCATATTCACCTTATAAATTAGATTTGATTTCACATGAGTTTGCAGTGTTTCCAAATGTGTTTGGAATTATTGCAGCCGCCAATTCTGACTGAACTCCTTGAATAAATACCTCCATCCATCTAAAGGAATGTCCTGCTGCACTGTCTGCGTGCAGAGTCTCTCTAACCCTTTGTTTCTTTTTTCAGCCAGTTATTCCGATGTTCACTCAGAATCTGCGGGAAGGCTTCAGATCTCTGGGAAATTTAAGTAAGTTTAGAAGCCGGTACACATCCCGACACAGGAGACAGAGCTCCAGAGAAAGAGATCAGAGATGTTTTTGTGTTGTTTGGGAGTGTAGTGACACATGAGGTATGTCCTCCATAGTCCAAAGAGAAGCTCTGTTCCTGAGTGTTTCTACAAAGATAGATGTGATGTTGAGTCAAAATGAATGTAGGACAAGTGTCTCCTTTTCTTCACAATTATTGGGCTTTGGGAGAGAAAATAAGAAATCAGGCTTTTTGGATACACATAAATTATGTTTATTACTCAAAAACAGTCAGAACATCAAACTTAAAGGCAAGGCAAGTTTATTTCTATAGCACATTTCAACAACAAGGCAATTCAAAGTGCTTCACACAAGACATCAAAATCATCATAACAGAGGAAAGAAAAGAAACATTGAAATAGAACATTTAAAAATCACTGAAATTATTAAATCTGAACATATGTTCAAATAAAAATAATTACAATGAAATTAACTGAAGTAAAAATATAAAAAGAGTTAAACTTTTAAATCTTATTAAAGCTGTGTATTATTGAAAGGCAGCTGTAAACAGGTGAGTCTTCAACATGGATTTAAGAGAGCTGAGAGTTTCAGCAGACCTGCAGTTTTCTGGGAGATAAAGAAAGCTTTCTGAGCAGAGTGTTGTGACCACAGTAGTGGAAGTAGACATTGTGTTTTTGTGTAGCCATGGTCAACTATTAGTTTGAGAAGCCGCGACTGAACCGTGCTTGTTGTGTGAGTAGAAGTAACCCCATGTGGACAAAGTGTGACATCTCTTTCCTGGTTTACAGGAAGCTTCAGTTTACTCTGATGTATCATCCATTTACTCCAAACAGACAAACATCATGAGTTAGACCATCATCTCACAAGGAAAATTTTCATTGTTTCTCATCTGCGTCTATGCAGTAAAAAAACTTCTTTTTGGGGAGTTCGCCCCCTGCTGGTCAGGTTTAGTACACGTCTGTATCGACTTCTCTTTTATAACAGAGTCCACTAAAACAGTCTTTGGTGCTGAGCTGACACAAGGGGGTGTTGATCTGTTGGTTAAATGTCTCCTTTGTCTTCACCTTCATCTGAATCCTTTCTTGTATATATAAATATGATATTCATGGAACATGCCGTGTCTCTCTGTTTTTTTCCATCCAGGATTTTATCGCTGGGTGTATGAGAGGTTTCGTTTCCCTGCAGCGCCGGTTTATGGAGGATTTCCTGTGAAGTTTCGAACCTTCCTCGGTGATCCGATCCCCTACGACCCCAATGTAAATGCTGCAGAGCTAGCAGAGAAAGTGAGTGAGATACTGCTCAGAGGTGTCAGTCAGATGTCTGAGCGGGGAAAGAAGTCCAACGTGTTTCAGTTACCAATTTGTAAAAAGTCAGAAAATCAACATGGACACCTTCAGGAGAAGCTTTGTTGTGTTAGCTAACAGCAGGAGACAACAACACACGACGTGAACGCAACATGTCAACAGAACATGATACTATCGATGTGATTGATTTAATTACACAAACACAAACACAACGTTTATAAACATCTTGTACAGCTTAAACTTCACTGTTGATGCACGGAGCAGCCATCTTGGATTTAGAGTTTTCGGGGGCGTTCCTGACGACATGTCCGACTGGCATCTCTGAACTTTCGGCTTCCTAGATCAAATAAAAGGCACCACATCGTCTTGTGCTGGTTTGGGCTTTTAAATCATTGATCTTTAACTGATCACTTTATATCACAGTGTTCAGTTTTACAACTGGCAAAATACAACTCAAATAATATGAATCATAATAATAATAATCTGTGCTGTGCATCACCAACGATGATCAATTTGACCTTTTATCATCTGATCACGTCTGGCTGAACCCCAATCAGATCTGAAATGAATCAGGAGAATCAAGATGATTTAATATGAAGTTATGAGAACTAGCTTGTCTTCTATGTTCAGAGCCGCTCAGGACTCCTTCAGCTGGACTTTAAAACCCCTCAGATAACCTTTTATTCCAGCTTATGTCTCCATGATTTAAGTAAAGAAGCAAGCAAGTAGAAGCTGCAGTTTAGCCTGCAGCACATGACGCCTGTCTTAAGGTACCTGAAGGTTTTTCAAAGTAAAATCACCTTATTAACCAGACTTCTAGCAGGTTGAATAACCGCGTTGGTCTGGAGTGAAGGTGAACACTAAAGGCTGATGGCCTGATGTGCTTTTTCTCCTGCATTCTTCTGTGTGTGTTTTTAACACGGAGCTTAAAAAGTTTAGATGTTGAACTAAAAATAAAACAAAAGCTTTTCTGGTGATAATGTGATGGGAAATGAAGAGTGAGCAGGTTGTTATCAGGGACTGAACCCCGACAGGGACCAGACCTGCTCACTTATTACACGGCTTCCTCTCTTAGGACATCACCAACTTTAAACAGAATATTGACTTTGGTTGACTTTTTTATTGATTTAATTATTGGTTAGAGCTGTGCTCATGGCAGCGGTTAAGAGCTGAACCTGCAGCTCAAATCAAAGTGAACATGACCACGGATGATGAGGTGACACACGTGAACAGATGTACATGAATCATTATACCAGATGTTAAAACAGATGTGTTCTGTACGCGCTGCTACGACCACCTACCACTGATCTGACTCTGTTTGTTGTCTTTGTCTGTGCAGGTGCAGCAGGCGGTCCAGTCTCTGATAGACCAGCACCAGCAGATCCCAGGGAACATCCTGAGAGCCTTACTGGAGAGATTTCACTCCAAAGTCAAAGACCATTAACATCAGCAGCACAAACTGTCCAGAGTGACCAAAACAACGTTCAGGTCAGACGGCCTCAGCGGGCACAGCTTCTGTCGCCTGACATGTTTGAATATTTGCACAACCCCCTCCCCCCCCAGAGTGCAGACGCTGAGGGTCTCCTGCATGCACATTTGTTGTACTGCCTGTTGCTGAAATGTATTTTTGAACCATTTGTTTTGAATCTGCTCATTCCCAGAACTGATCTGTGTAAGAGTTCCTGGAGGTGTGTTATTGGACGAGACAATAATCACACTTAAAAAAAAAATAACACATGAACAATATCTTATTCCAGTTGTTCCTAAATCTTTGTCACCATTAATTACAGCGTGTTGATTTGCAGATGGACCTCAGTTAGACTTCTGGTTAAATGACACTGGTGTGTCATGGATGTTTGAGGATCATTTAATACTCTGATGATGTATCAGGAGGCGTGACAGAGAGAGAGTGAGATAAGATGTCTGCTGATCTCTAAACCTCTCTAAACATTTAACAAACTCCAGTATGGCAGATGAATCAAAGTGTTTCAATAACAAGCTGATCAAACTAAACAGTATCCAGTTATGTGTCCTGTGTTTCCCAGATTAAAGAACAAAACATCATCTACAATTCCTACATGTAGCTGCTTTAAAGCTTCCTCAACTGTAAATAAGTGTTTTATCATCTTTAAAGACAGACCCAGAGTCATGTTAGAACCTGAAACCTGTAGGCATGTCACTAAAGGGAACACGATTCAGACTCAGAGTCATACCCCATCCATTTAAATGTAATAAGTACATAAAGACACACACACACACACACACACACAGAGGCTGGACTTTAACAGTTTGTATTCAGACAGTCACAAACATGCAGGTTGTCCTCGTCATGTTGAAAGGATCTGTTTGTTTTATGAAGTGTAACACAGAGTAGTAAAGCCGTGATCCATGATTCAGCCCCACATGTGCAACACTTTAAAACCTTTGTGGTGTTAAACACAGTTCTACCAGCACTGTGGCTAACAAAGTCATCCTTTTCTAAATGTCAGAGTGGAGAGTGACAGGATGGAGAGGGCTTTGTGTGTTACCTTTAAGTGCAATGATGAGGGGACATATTGTTCATGTTCCCTCCTGTGTGTCAGATGTTCAGTGTTGAGATCCTCTCTACATGATGTGGTTCTTCATCACAGCGTCAGCTTGCACTTTATAAAGTAAACAGCTCGTGGTTGTTTCTGATAGCTCAGTGCCACCTTTACTCTCATTTAACAAACAAAGAGGTTTCTCGCTGCTTGGTCCAGAACCTCAGAACGTCAGGGCCAGGACCATAAGGACAGCTCCCAGAAGGATTAATTCTTTCAGATGGGTCACTGACTCCGGTGCTGAAAAAGATGCAGCTGTTTATATCACAGAGTTTTTTAAATCACAAAAAAAGGGAGTTTGTTTTTATCTGGCTGCTTTTTTCACTGACAGAAAAACAAGCTGTGGAACATAAATGTAGAAAACTGAAGATGCAATACGATGAGATACACAGAGAAAAAGCTTTTTAACCTGTTGAGCCCTTCTTTATAAAACTCTAAATCTTATTGTGATGTGAGTAATAATGTGATCATGATTTCAAAGATATCTGTTGATAATTGTAAACAACTTGATGTTTATATAAATGATTCCTTCATAATAAGAAGGGGGCTCAAAGCTGCTAACGTTTGACTGTTCCTTCAACTGTCACCATGGTTACCTGAGGGATTCTTTTTTCAGGGGTAAATGAAAATGAAATCAGAATAATCGTCATTTTCTCTTCTGTAATATTTAAAATTCAAATGTTTGATTTCATTTTAAATTGATGATCTGATAGTAACGATGATGACTAGCTTTACAAACATCACTGGACTTTGTTCCACTGCTTAAAGAGAGTTTGTTAAAAGCAGACAGGCATGTAATGAGAAGGAGGTGAATTGATTCCTGCCGTTGGGTCAGAGTCCTGACTTGACTTGACAAATGAAACGAGAGGTCAGTGTAGAGTCGGTACTTTACTGATGGCTGTATACGTTCTCCATCGCTGCAGCAGCCTACACACCAAGCTGTGCTGACAAGAGTTCATTTACTGACATGTCTGCGATGTGTCTGCGTTAAGAAAGGTGAAGAAGAATTGATTTCAAGTCAAACCTATTTAATGTTACACTTGAAAAAATGCCGATTCAGAAGAACAGATATTCATTCCTGTAGTTATTTATTCATGACATTTTACAGTGAAGTCGATGAAAGTGATGTCATTCATCATGCTGGATTCTGATTGGTACAAAGTCCCGTGTCTGCAGTGTTGCCTCAAACCTTCACATGGCCATTACTTTACCTTATGGAGACGTTATTAAAGGTGTTCCTCAGATGCACTTAAAGAATGAATGATGAGTTGTCTCCTGATCCTCGTGAGTTACACTTATTACCAGCCTTTTATTTTGAAAAACCAACATTAACCAGATGACAGACGTCTGTCCACCTGATCAAGTTACTGTAATCATCAGTGCTGTGAACTTCTCCTGGCTCATGTTTGTAGTTTTGAATTAAAGGTGACTAGTCTTTGTGTTGATCTGTATGAGGATGTAAATATTGTGATTGAAGTATCACCACTGCCAACTCTGATTTGTTTCCTGTTTAAAGACACCGTGGTGAGTGTTCTTCAGGTGTGTCGTACCGGGTGCTTTACTTTGTCTACTGGTTGCCTTTTTCATGTTTCTGTTGTTGCTTCTGAGATGATCTTTAACAAACCTTTTACACTGTGTCAATATAACATACATGTTGCACTATAAAATATTTACATCCCCGTTTTCCTGTTAATAAATCTATTTTGATAAAAAGTTTCATGAAGTCTTTTTTCTTGTTTAGCACAGTGTGTTTATGTAGGAGAGTGTGACGGAGGAGGACAGGTGGAGGTCAAGCCCAAGCAGTACAACCCACAGTTTCACATGCTGCAGGTGAAGCAGGAGGTGAAGCAGCAGGTGAAGCAGCAGGTGAAGCAGGAGGTGAATCAGCAGGTGAAGCAGGAGGTGAAGCAGGAGGTGAATCAGCAGGTGAATCAGGAGGTGAAGCAGGAGGTGAAGCAGGAGGTGAAGCAGCAGGTGAATCAGCAGGTGAAGCAGGAGGTGAATCAGCAGGTGAATCAGGAGGTGAAGCAGGAGGTGAATCAGCAGGTGAATCAGGAGGTGAAGCAGGAGGTGAATCAGGAGGTGAATCAGCAGGTGAATCAGGAGGTGAAGCAGGAGGTGAATCAGCAGGTGAATCAGCAGGTGAAGCAGGAGGTGAAGCAGGAGGTGAATCAGGAGGTGAAGCAGGAGGTGAATCAGCAGGTGAATCAGGAGGTGAAGCAGGAGGTGAAGCAGGAGGTGAATCAGCAGGTGAAGCAGGAGGTGAAGCAGCAGGTGAATCAGGAGGTGAAGCAGGAGGTGAATCAGCTGGTGAATCAGGAGGTGAAGCAGGAGGTGAATCAGGAGGTGAAGCAGGAGGTGAAGCAGCAGGTGAATCAGGAGGTGAAGCAGGAGGTGAATCAGCTGGTGAATCAGGAGGTGAAGCAGGAGGTGAATCAGCAGGTGAAGCAGGAGGTGAAGCAGGAGGTGAATCAGGAGGTGAAGCAGGAGGTGAATCAGCTGGTGAATCAGGAGGTGAAGCAGGAGGTGAATCAGCAGGTGAAGCAGGAGGTGAAGCAGGAGGTGAATCAGCAGGTGAATCAGGAGGTGAATCAGGAGGTGAATCAGGAGGTGAATCAGGAGGTGAAGCAGCAGGTGAATCAGGAGCGTGTCTGGAGTGAGTTCACTCAGCCATGTCTCCGTGAACTGCATGATGCTACACTCCCTGTACTCCCTCTGAAGCCGGGTGAGTGCCGTCAGCTCCTCCATCTTATTAGGGAGAGATCTTACATTCCCCACAATTAAAGACGGCACGGATGGTTTGTACCGTCTTTTCTTTTCCCGACACTTCACTCCGGCTCTGCATCCCCTTCTCTTCCTCCGTAGTTCTGCGGGGATGTCCGGTCTTTCGGCTGGATGTATCCGAGGTTGGCACAGCGCAACCAGCTGTTCACTAGCTGTATGTCCGTTGCTTTGGAAAAAAGCATCTGCTCAGTGAATTGTAGAATTGTACAAACTGTGTATTAAATAAGTAGACAAAGCCTCATTCATGTCACCCATTGGTTTCTGAAGCAGACCTTTGAAGCCCATCACTGTCGGCCGCCATATTGGAAACTCTGTCTCAGACTGATTTTCAGTGAACCTAGCAACAGGTGTAGAAGTGAAGCAGAGGTCAGTCAGGTCAGCTACACTCCTTATCATGAATAACTCTTACCCTTCATAAAATCATGACCCATTTAACCTTTTTTAACCAGACTGTAAATCTTGTTATTTCTGCTGTAAAATGGCTTTTTTAAATGGTTGTGTACTTGACTTCTGAATGGCGACTGTGGATTCAGTGGTAGAGTCGGTCGTCTCTCAACTGGAAGGTCGGGGGTTTGATCCCCAGCTCCTGCAGTCTCATGTCCGATGTGTCCTTGAACGAGACACTTCACCCCAAATTCCCGCTCCTTCATTGGTAATGTGTGAATGTGTAGGTGTGACCTACGATGTAAAATCACTTTGAGTAGTCAGAAGACTAGAAAATAATTATACAAGCTCAAGTCCATCTACGTCTTTTGCAGCCAGCCCCAAGTGGACACTTGATGAACTGCAGCTTTTAACCCTTCTGCATTGTCTTCATTTTTCAACACCAGAGGTCGACGCTAATTTAACTAGTGATGCTGCCGCCCTCTGCTGGCTGCACACTGATACTGCACTGAAAACAAAAGCAGGACACACTGTGATTGTTCAACACTCTGGAAGCCCTTTATTATAATGATTTAATTTTTTAATTATTTTTAACATTATTGATCAGACCACCCTGACAGGAAGCAGACTGATGGAGACATGCAGAGGTTTGACAGATGATTAGATATAAACAGTCCGACAGTCTCAAATTAAACTTTGTGAATCATTAGCACAGAATTAACGTTTTTCATACACAGACACAGTGAGAGGTAGCATGGGGTCAAATCAGGAATGACATCATCCTCATCAGTGAAGAAAACAACTGTAGCACTCTGCGTGATCATTTCAGAGAAGATGAAAAGCGAAACTTTCATTTCAGACAGATGTTATGTCAGGGATTATATAAAGTGAGCGTGTTGTTATCACAGGGATAGTAGAACTTTAGACGTGATTGGCCAATCAGAATCAAGTCTTTAGCTTTGATGAGTGCTTTTATTCTTTATGGAGTAAAGATGATTGTCTTTGGTCTGTACTGATGTCTGTAATGTGACTCAGATAAACCTTAATGTGATTCAGCTGTGAGGATGAAGTCATTCTGATGGTTATACAAACACTTTTATTTATTTAAACATCTCTCTGCACTAACAGATCTTTGAAAGGAAGATAAACACTCATATTTAAATCTTAATTATCTACATAAAATCTGTTCTGTAGCGACTTTGGGGTGAATACTTATCATCACAACACAGGACACAAAATGTTCAAAAAGGATCCAAAAACAGCTGAACTGCATCTTACAGGCCTGAATCTATTCAAACTATGTTAGGAAAAATAAATTCTGTTTACACATGTTATATTATAATCTCTATTCCTATTAAAACATTAAAACATGATGTGACAGAATACAAACTTCTGTCTGATTGTCTGTAGAAGTCCACGGCCGATTTTTCTGAAAATATCAAATCAAAAACAGCTGAACGTGGTCTGAGGAGGTATGAGGTACAGTGATACGCGCTGCCCTCTACAGGACAAACTGTGTATGGTAACACAGTTTCAGTGACATCAGACATGTACCTCAGTATCTTATTGCTGCAGTTTGTTACATGAGTTATGAAATCCAGATATATATATTTACAAATGTCAGAGTGTCTCCTGGTTTGGATTTTAAAAACTTTTTTTCCACAACACAAAATATTGAAAGGTAATAAAGGTAAACATCACACAATATTGCTGTAGGAACACATTGCTAGTCAATCCATTTTCTCTCTCGCTTAATTCGCTTTGAAAGTTTGAATGTCTGTTGCGCGTCCTTGGTCCATGAACACCTCACGGTGCGCTCTTGGAGGCTGCAGCTGTTGTGCTTTTCCTGCCTCGACCTTTAGAGGGGGAGTTGCAGCCTGACGTCGGGACACTCCACTCCCTGTGACCCGCCAAGGTGGGGTGGAGGGAGGAAGATGGAAAGGGAGGGGAGGAGGAGGTGGGGGACAGGGAGGTGGAGGAGGAGGAGGAAGGTGAGGAGGAGGATGAAGAGTAGGAGGATGAAGAGCAGTACCGTTGTTGGGAGGTGGAGGCGAGGGCGAGTTGGTGCTGGCCCTTGCTGGCGCTGTGAGGCCGGTGGTGGGCGGGGCCGGTGTTAGCGTGGGATGGCGACAACATTTGGCTGGATGAAGGGAGGAGACGACACAGAGTCAGAGAAGGGATCAAAGACTTATGAGGAGGAGGAGGAGGGGAAGACAGTGAGGGGGAGGAGTGTTTCAGCGAGGAGGAAGAGGAGAGGGGAAACAGAGAAGCCTGTTGCCCAGAGCTCGAGGTGGGAGGAGAAGAGTTGGTGATTGAAGCAGCAGACACAAGTGAGTTCTTCCCAGAGGAGGAGATGGTAGGTGCTGAGGAGGAGGAGCAGGAGGAAGAGGAGAGGTATTTGAGGCTATCGTTGGAGTCTGAGCAGTGAGGAGTGGAAGAAGAAGAAGCAGGCGGGTGTTTCCGAGAATTATGGCATAACCCGGGAATCTTAGAGGCACGCAAAGCAATGACAGAACAGTTACTATTCCCCGCTGCTCTACTGCTGCTGCTGTCAGCCTGCAACACAACACCAGCAACAGAGAAAGTCAACTCATGAAGTCAACAGCAGGAACACAGGACGTCAACACCAGGACCACAGGAAGTCAACACGACAAGTCATCACAACAAGTCAACGCCAGCAACACAGGAAGTCAACACCAGGACCACAGGAAGTCAACAAGACAAGTCAACACCAGGAACACAGGAAGTCAACACGACAAGTCATCACAACAAGTCAACACGACAAGTCAACGCCAGCAACACAGGAATCAACACCAGGACCACAGGAAGTCAACACGACAAGTCAACACCAGGAACACAGGAAGTCAACACAACAAGTCAACACCAGGAACACAGGAAGTCAACACGACAAGTCATCACAACAAGTCAACATGACAAGTCAACACCAGGACCACAGGAAGTCAACACCAGGACCACAGGAAGTCAGCACAACAAGTCATCACAACAAGTCAACACGACAAGTCAACGCCAGCAACACAGGAAGTCAACACCAGGACCACAGGAAGTCAACACGGCAAGTCAACACCAGGAACACAGGAAGTCAACACGACAAGTCAACACGAGGAACACAGGAAATCAACACGACAAGTCAACACCAGGAACACAGGAAGTCAACACGACAAGTCATCACAACAAGTCAACGCCAGCAACACAGGAAGTCAACACCAGGAACACAGGAAGTCAACACGACAAGTCATCACAACAAGTCAACATGACAAGTCAACACCAGGAACACAGGAAGTCAACACGACAAGTCATTACAACAAGTCAACACGACAAGTCAACACCAGGAACACAGGAAGTCAACACCAGGACCACAGGAAGTCAACACCAGGACCACAGGAAGTCAACACCAGGAACACAGGAAGTCAACACCAGGAACACAAGAAGTCAACACCAGGAACACAGGAAGTCAACAACAGGAACACAGGAAGTCAACAACAGGAACACAAGTCAACCCGAGAAGTAAACCCCAGCAACATGGCA